TAATAAAATATAATCAATTTAAAATAGTTTCATATATTTTTTATGTCTTTTATTTTTCAAATTAGTGAACAATTTGAGGTTAAATCATTTTGTAAAATTTTTAACGATTTACTTTTTTCCTCATTAATTAATTCACCAAATGCTCTAAAATTTTAGAATTAACTAGTTTTAAACATGAGAAACATTTTTCACTTATATTACAAAGGTCGTTAGAACTTGCTGATGTGGTCCATTTTTGAGTTAAAGATTTTAAAAAAAATTCTGGAATTTTCATTTTTATCTTTTAAGGTTTGTAAAACAACAATGCTTTTATTTATTATATATAGTAGATTAATTTTTACTTAATAAGCAGGTGTGATTGGGACAGTAAAATTTTTATGTCACTTTATTCAATTATTTGCAATGATCTGCAGGTGTCCCTATACTTTTGTCCAGGAAGTGTACATAGTACAAGTAAATTTAAAAAGGAATAAATAATAGAGATAGTTTATCAAGTAATTTTGACGTTAACTCCGTTGATTAATTCAAAAAGGCTTTTTTTTTTATTTTTTTCTTTCATTGAAATATCATTGAATAAATACTAATTAACTTTCTTTTATCAACAATTTCTTCATTGTCAATATTATCATTGTTATTACTCCCATTATCACAATTGTTGTAGTACATATTCATTCCGGATAATCATTGTTCGTTTTGCGACATCGTTTTACCAAAATTATCAAATTTTTTTTCAAAAATTCTTTTTATATTTCCCATAAATGTGTAATATATTTTAGATGTAGATTCATCACAAAATTACAATGAACAATAATATCCGAAACTTCAGAGACATTAACTCGGCAAATAGCTCCTTTATATTTTTTTCCATCATCTTTTTACAATTTCAGTTTCTCCCGCCAAGTTCCATATCCAAATTTGACTTCTTAGAACTACTATTTACTTTTCTTTTTTTCAAAATATGAGCAGTAGAAGACTTTCCTCCCATTATTATGTATTATTACTTCCATCTTAAATGAGTGTA